TGGTAAAAAAAAAAAAAAAAAAAATCTATATGCTGGACATGGTGAATCCCAGAACTCTGGAAGGCTGAGGCAGGAGGTTTGCAAGTTCTAGACTAGCCTGGGCAAGCTAGCAAGACCATATCTCAAAAATAAAAATAATAAAGTGAATAGGGATGTGGCTCAGTGTGAAGGCCCAAGGTTCAATTCCCCATACTTCCCCAGCCTCCAGCTTTCTGTTCCCTATTCCTAGTAGACGCTGACAGAGCCCAGATCTAGGTAATTTTGTTCTCAACACACAATTTTCATTACAAATGTGGGACTTTGGAATGAGCCTTGGAAAGATAGGAAACTTCCTTGTCTATAATTTGGAGATCATGATAATCCTCATCTTAAAGGGTTATTTCATAGTGTTGAGTGTAGGAAGACTCATAAAATGCCTAGCTCAGTGCCTGGCACATTGTCAGGATTCATAAATAGTAGGCACTGCTTTTATTAATATTTTGGATAAGTTCAAGATCATTTTTTTCTAGGCCTTAATTTTCTTTATTTAGGCCTCCTACCCTATAGCATGGAAAGCAGTTGGATATTTGGAACTAGAGGTAGGCAGATTCAACCTAAAATTTCTGTTAGACCATCACAGCTTATGTTTCAGTCTCTAGGAAAAAGAATCTTTCTTCATTTTGATTCTTTTTAGCACAGCTCCATTATGCATCTCAGAATTTGTCAAAGTCATTAAGAAAGACCTCCAAAAGTATCTGTTCGTTTCCTGAATATAGACTTTTAATTTTAAAAAGTGTTACATAATTTTTGGACATTTTTATTGTTTTCAAACGAAGCAACTTTCAGCACATCAAATTTATTCAAAGAGATGACATTGGGCCATGTTCTTGGGTCTGTTCTCTTGAGTAGATTTAATGTACTTTCACATTCCTAAAATGTTTTTATAATAGCTTCATAATTACAAGTGATGTTTTTAAATGTGCTGCCTTTAAAAAAAAGTGATTCTGACTTGCGGTTTTCATAACTTTTGCTAGTTCTTCACTGCTTCGGCTTCACCAGCTTGTAGGAAGGAAAAGATTGAGTTACACAAACAGCCAGTTCAGCTGTAGGAGTTAGAGAGCCAGGCAGAGTTTACACATGGTTAGCACTCTGTGGCAGGAAAGAGGCTGTTGTATTCTTTGTCAAATTTATTTAATAATTGGATTTAATGATTGAGAAAACTATGTACTTTGAAAAAAATTGCCCTTCAGTGGAGAAATGTAAATAGTACATTTACGTTTTTCTGTGTTACAGAGATCCAAGGAGGCCCTGAAATGCAACAGTAATTCTGTGCCCTCTTTGCACCTCAGGTGTGTTAACCTTGGTTCCATGCCCATGACAGGGGTACACAATCTGCACACAGCACAATGTTCCTCACATCCTCAACCCCTCCCACCCCTGCCAGTTTCCTTTGCTTCTTCCCCTTTCTCCTCTGATACCCATCATTAATGGTTTAGCAAACATTTTTTCACTGAGCTTGGATATGAACTCAGAATTCCTATAAAAATATAGAGCTCCAGGAAGCCACACCTAGGGGAACAGCAGCAAAGTGCAGTAAAGGAGGAAACCTATCAAACTTAGAGGATTTATCAATATATTGATAGCATTTCTTAGCTAATGTAAGCAGTTCAGCTCCCAAATCAGTTGTTTCAACTTTTAGAATTCAGTCCAATTATTTTTGGACATAAGATAAATAAAAATGGTGTATTTTTGGCTGGGTGTGATGGTGAAAGCGTGTAATCCTGGCAGGCTGGAAGACTGAGGCAAGAGGATAGCAAGTTTGAGCCCAACCTGGGAAACAACAGGTTGATGAGACCCTGTCTCAAATAAAAAAGTGGGTTCAGTTCCCAGCACTTACCATAAAAAAGAAAAAAAAAACATGGTGAAGTTTTGGTCAAGATTTTTACTTTTTAAACTATCATGCACTGTCTTGGGATAACATTGGCAAAGCTTGAATAACTAACTTTATAATAAAAACAGAATACACATGGTATTACATAAATTAATTTTGTGAAATATCCGCTAAGTATGCAAGGTCACATCAGCGAGTGTGAATGTGTTTGAAATTCCTCTTGTGTTGAAAGGGATTTCTCATTGATCTTTGCTTTTCTCCAGCACAAACTATTTTCTGTCCCATGAAAATTCATCACCATATCCCGGCATTATGGCAGATGGAGAGATCTTTGGCCCAGCACTGTTTTGGAGATCATCCTTGCCTGTTCACTATTGCTGAGTAGTTTTACAACTTGGGTTCATTTAGTGAAGAAAGGGAACCAAATCTGATACTTGTGTCATCTACCAATCACAGGCATAAAACACACACACACACACACACACACACACACACTTTAGGTGTATCTTCGGCAGTCTAGTCAAGGAAAACAGCATTGGGAGCTATGGAATGTTTCTCCTTTTTAATAAGGGAAAAGAAAAAAAATATGAGAAAATGAAAAAATGGAAATAAAGTTTTTCTAAATAGGGAAGGGAGGAGAGGGTGAAGGGAGGGCAGGGGTATGGAGAAAAAATGAGAACCAAGACCTGTCATGCATGGGCCAAATAGCAGTCAAGTTAGGCAATATATCATGACAAGGAAGAGCCCCAAATATCACTGGCTTGGCCCAGGAGAAATCTCTCACTTGTACAAAGTCAATGCTAAGTCAGAGCACCTCTCCAAAGCAGCTGTCTCCCTTCCTATGTTGACTCGCCATTCTGCAACCGGTCAGCTGTGTACCTATCCATGCTGATGTGACTATCTGTGACTGCTGGGTCAAGGGGAGAGAGGGCTGTATTGGGGAGCAGTAACAAGCCAAGGTCTCCAGTGATGAAATGTAGCAGGAGAGGTGTGTGCACTTCCCAGAAGGGCTGCGAGCTATCTGGCTGTGTTCGACTTCAAGGGCCCGAGACGCCATCTGTCTATGAGCCTAGAAGAGCAGCCACCAGAACGCTGCCGAAGAGGACACTTTTGTGGGCCTATGTCAGACTGTTAGAACGTCTAGGAGAATTTTTCTCTCTCCTTTGATTAGTGAATTGGAAAAGTAAATAAATCTTTCTGAATGTTTTTATTTTTCTTTTGATTTTTTTTTTTTGAGACAGGGTTTTATTATGCAGTTCAGGCTGGCCTTGAAATCACTATGTAGCCCAGGCCGGCCTCGAACTTACAGCGATCCTGGCTCAGCCTCCAAAGTGCTGAGATTACAGCCCTGTGCCACCACATCCAGCCCTAAGTGATATTTTCTTTAGTGTGACAGTGGTGAAATAAATGTGGGAAATGTTTCCATATTTGAAATGACTGCACCACAAAACTAAAAGTCACTATTGATAATTTAAACGTGTTGTAGTTTCAGGAGTATGAACTGCTAAAAGGCTTATGGGAGACTTTACTTGGCCTTCTTCTTCAAGGACTCATGTGCCTTGATTAGCTGAGTCATGCTCTTCTCCTGAGATGTCCGTGTCTTAACCCTCAACACCAGTGAAAATACCAGGTTACATATCAAGGAGAAATTCAGGTTGCAGAAGATTGTCCTCGATTACCTGGATAGGTCTGATATAATCATAAGGCTTCTTCAGAATAGAAGAGGGAGACAGAAGAGAGGTCAGAACCAAAAAACGCACAGCATGAGGAAGGCTTGACATGATATTTGAGTATAAGAGGAAGGGACCACAAGACAAGGAATGTGTGTTGCCTCTAGAAGCTAGAAAAGGCAAAGAAATAGTTCCCCCCTTCGAACCTTGAGAAAGAACATAGCCCTGCTGACACTTTGATTTTGCCCCATTAGGACTCATTTAGGGCTTCTCACTTCTAAACTGTAAGATAGAAAACTTGTGTGGTCATAAGTCACACTAATTTGGTGATAATTTGTCACAACAGCAATAGGAAATTACCATGGCCATGACCTCTAGAGAAAGGGTTAGGACAGAAGATTGGTATTTCTCTGAAGGGTGAAAAATATGAAATTATATTATTCTCTTGTTAGCATCTCTCTAAACAACCTGAAAAGTTTCAGGAGGAAGTAAGTAAGCTAGAAAATCACAGTTCTGAGCTGGAGATTAGCTCAGTGGCACCACGCCTACCTTGCAAGTGCGAGTTCTGGAGTTTAATCCCTAATGAGGAAGGAAAAAAAAAGCACAGTGCTGGGAAACCTAAACATCTACATCTTTTCTATTCTTCTTGTAGGCCTGTCAATCATTGAGAAACTTATGCAGAAAAATGGGAGAAGAATAAAATATAAAGCACCAATTTTATAAGAATTCCACACGGCCTTAGAAGAACTGTGAGTCCGAGTCTACAATTTGACGAGTATTCAGAGAAGTGACTTTGGAACAAGTGATGGCTGAGGTTGGTGTGTTGGAATTGGCTTTGAATGCGATCCGTTATTTGGTTAAAGAAGAGTAGGATTATGGATAATGTGCACACCCTTCCTATCTTGAATTGAGGATATAGCCAAGGTGCATAGCGAAGTCCTCACTTATAGTGAAGACTGTGTGTTCATTCATCTTTCATTAACATCTGATTAGATAAATGGGTAGGCAGAGGGGAGTGAAACACATAGAACAGGAAAGTTCTTATTTAGATGAACCACCATTTGTAACATATACAAAGGTACAGAGAGGCAAGACTTTTGGCTCGGAATAAAGAACTGTTGAAAGCACTGTTCAGCGAGAGCCCCCAAATATCATTGGTGGCAGACACCCAACTAGCCTGGTGTGGCAATCATTTATACTTTACTGATTCTTTTATACACACACACACACACACACACACACACGTACTATATATGCACATGTATAATATGTTATATATGATACATACATATATATATATTTGAGACAGAGTCTTGCTATGTAGTTCAGGCTGGTCTTGAACTCACTAAGTAGCTCAGGCTGGAATTTCAAGTGATCCTCCTGACTCAGCCTCCTGACTGCTAGGATTACAGGTGTGTAGCACCCGCCCGGTGATTCTTTTGCATTCTATTTGCTAAAATTCTGCACACAACAAAATTAGAAAGTACCCCCAAAGATCCTTTCTATCTATGCTAACCTAGTCACTTGTCATTATTTTTTTCTCTCTTCCTAATTACCAGGAGCTAGGCTCTGTTTGAGAGTGTCATATATTTGGATCATTAGTAATTGCTCTATAATAATGATGGCAAAAGATAAGTAATAGTTGTTATTTATTAATCTTTGCTCCCACCTTGTTCTAAAATGGATTTGAGGTGGGTTGCAAAAACCAGGCAATTCCCCAAGAAGTAACAGAGATTAGCAAGTGAGGGAATTAGGGCAAAGGAAAGTAGGAATGAGAAAAAAGAAGAAACTGAGAGTACAAAATGTGCTTTACCAGTTTTTGAGCCCTTGCGAGGGACGGACTGCAAATTTACCCCAGCTTTCTAGCAACCAGAAGTGGGAAACGATTAGTCCCAGGAGCCACAGATCCGTTGTTATGAAGCAGCACAGTAATTCCTGGAGTGTAGACCAGAGAGAACTGTCTCCCACGGCTCTCTGTGAAGAGGACTACTGTGAAACTCAGCGAGCCGCCTCTTTAGCCACAATCCTTCCTGGAGAGCTGACAGGTTCCTCAGAGCTGTTTTGTTACATCCTTCACAGAGGCTGCAACCTCATATCCTAGCAGAATTTTCTTCTCCCTCCCCTCCCTCCCTTCGTCCCTCCTTTGCTCCCTTCCTTTTTAGTACTGGAAATTGAACCCGGGGCCTTCACACTGAGCTACATCCTCAGCCCATTTTTATTTTTTATTTTGAGACAGGTCTGTCTAAGCTGATGAATTGCTTTGGATTCTGCTGAGGTGGAATTTTTGATTCTCCTGCCTCAGCCTCCTAGTGGGTGCCCCCGCTCCCCAATAGGCCTCTTAAGGCCCTGCATTTCCTCTGGCCTCCCTGCACGTTGTAAACAAAGATAACTCATGCTGCCCTCTGGCAGCCCAACGCCAGCCTCCTCCAGATCCCTGAGCCCCGCAGTGGGCGCCCCCCAGGCCCAGCAGCAGGCCGCAAACATTGTTCCAGTGGCCCAGTGTAGCGCAGTTTGGGTGAGCAGTGGAAGAAATAAACATGTGCTCTTCTAAGAATACTTCAGTTCCTTCTCCATACTACTATCACCAGGGTCTTTCTAACACATAAAGCTCATTGTGCCACTGCCCTGATGAAAACCCATGCATCGCTTCCTGCCCCTCAGGATAAAGCTGCAGGTTTGCTGCACGGTCGACAGGCTCCCAGCTACCTCACCTTTTTCTCTCCCTTCACTCCTGCTGCTCTATTTGCCCATAACTTTAGTTCTTTAAAACTTCTCATTTCCCCCCTCTCTTCCCCCCAAGCCCAGATCTGGGCCCGGGACTTGCCTTCCTCTTTGAAAACTATTTGTATCCTTTAGTCTGGCCAGTCTATACCTGCTGTGTTTCAGGGAATAAGCCCAGAAGTCAGTCTCTCCAGGGCATTGTCCTGAACCCTCAGACTTGGTGAGGTGCCTCTGTTAGGTGCCCACAGCATCCTCCCACTGGGGCATTGTGTTGGTGAGGACAATGCCAGATGCAGGGACCATCTCCACAGCAGTGGCTAAAAGCAATGACATTTTATTTCTCATTCGTCTAAGCATCCAGTGCAGGTGCTCCTGGCTGTTAGGCCAACGGCTCCACAGGACGATTCAAGGCCCCATAGCCTCTCCATGTGGTAGCTCAGTCCGTCATCCTCTAGGGCCACACAGTCCTCAGCATCCAGCTGGGGCAGAAAAGGACAGGGGCTGGAAGGCATCCCTTACTGCCATGACTCAGAGGTGTCCATCCTATGTTCCCGTCACTCCCATTCCAGTGGCATGAAAATGGTGCTACTCTTTGCTACGGACAGCTGGCGTCTGGTGACAACATTTTCACATAGAAGGAAGACAGTGCGTTTTGGTGGGACCCATCTCCTAACGCACTTTGTCGCAATTTCTATGACTTCACTAGACTCTAGGCTCAGTGAGAAGAAGGCAGGGGAGAGCACTGATCATTGCTGTGTCTCTTTGGCAGCTCCATGCCCTGCTTCTTAAGGTAGAGACTGCCTGGTGAGGAAAAGCATCGGTGCTTGACTGGAGGACAGAGCAGGTCGTGTGCACAGTTCACCCACTTTACACCCCTTCCCTGCACTGTGCAGGGCTGAGGGGAGAGAGAAACAGCAAACAGAGTAGCTTTTGCTTCTGCTACCAGGCAAACCCCTCTGAAAAGCACCCGTTCCCTTCCCAGACTGAAACACTCATTGTGAGCAGAGATTTCATAATCACAGGTGCCCATCAAGGCACAAGCCTCCTCTTGAATGATGAAGCCTTCTGATTAAAGACTTGTTAATGGTACTTTATGGGGCAGAGAGAAAATGTGCCGCTGTTAGTACTGGCATTGCTGCTCCATCACACATCTGGCACCTGCCTCTGAGTCCATGGAGGTGGGCGGTGGATACATCTTTTCCTCTCTTGATAAGCCAGCTATGTCTTTGGAGTGTCTCTTCATCAGTCCTTTTTTTGTGTATGTGTTAGTGTGAGCATATAATAGTAGAAAAGCAATCACCTTTCAGATTGTTAGGGTAGAAAAGAAGGAATGAATAGACTTGATGTGTAATTGACTTATGACACTGGAGAAACAATTGTCTATTTGAAGCAACATGGTTCTGTTTCTGAAAATCCTTAGGAGAGCAATAGACTTGTGAAACTGGGGCCTATAATTTAAGGTCCCCAAAGGTGACCTCAGATAATGACACTCAAGGCTCCCATCCCCACCATCCTGTACTGTATTGAGAGGAAGACTAGTATTCCTCTCCCTAAGGTGCCCCCTTTTAAATAAGCAGAAGAACCCTAGAACCGGCTCAGTCCAAAGGGTCGGTAGTCATCCTTTGACTGTCTTAGGCATCACAGCACACAAAGAGAGTCCAGCAGGTCTAGGCATCCCCTGACCACTGCGGGGACATTGTGGAGGTTAAGGCACAAGTGCCTGTCTCTGGCTTTGCCTGTCTTGTCAACATCTGGGGAAAGGAGCAAGCCTCACTTCTCTCTTCCCACTGGTCCCTCAGCCATGGGCCCTGCCGGCCAAGCCGAGGGCAGCCAATAACAGCTCTCTACAGACCATCATGTCTCCGGCTAGGAAGCTTCCATCTCCTGGAGAATCAGGGCAGGCAGAACGGCCTTGCTCCATGCCCACCCCAGTCATGTTCCAAGAGCCAGCCCGCACAACTACTTCTGAGACCACCCCCAGTGTTCAGCTAATTTTTTTCTCATCCATTGGGTATGGCCACTCCAGGCCTTCTTAGGTCCCCGAGACTGTGAACTTCAGAGCTGTTTCTGACTGTTTTCCTCGGGGAAGTTCCCATCTATCCTGTATCTTCCTTGAATCTACTCTTCTCCAAATACAGGCCTTAACACTAATAGTAACCACTGAGGTTTACGAGCACTGACTGTGTCACTGTTTAGAGTCCCATATGTAGATTAGCTTTTTAAATCTTTGAATATTGTCTATACTGTGGGCTGTGTATCATCCTCATCTTAGGTAGGGGGAAGTTAAGGCACAGAGGAGGAAACTCCTCCGAGTTTAAACATCAGTGGATTTGTGCCTGGGCCCCCAGCTGCTCCTGTTGGACTGTTTACATAACACAAGGAAATTCTTCTCAGAACACAGGTCCTCCCTGAGGTCCCTGGGCTTTACAGATGTCACTGTGACAAACACAAAGAGGGAAAACACAAATGAAGAGTAAGGGTCTCCCAACTTCATTCAGTCGTCCCTTTCCAAACTTTTAGCGTTTACAGATGCACTCATATATTTCTACAAAATCAAAGAGGGTAGAGCCAGCAGCACTTTTGTAGAAAAGGACAGCTATGCCTCATGTGTTTCAGTTGATGACGGACCATGTAATAGTCCCAGATTATATCTCCTAGTGACGTGGTAGCCGTCTTGGAGTGTCTAAGTACACTCCGTGATGTTTGCATAACAATACTAGCAACGTATTTCTAAGAACACATCCCACCATTGAATGACCCATGACTCTTTCCTTGCTCAAGAGTTCAGTCTCTCTGAACTGGGCAGGCCTCTTCCTGTGTTTAGAATTCTGACAGGTATTCCTTGGCCTCCTTAGCTGAAGTGGCACTCCTACTCCATGCTTGCTGTTTCTTAAGACCCTATTTCTTTTCTCCTGTTATACTGGATTGGTGGTATTCAGTCTTGACATGTATGTGAGTACCGATAAATTAATTCCGCTCGACACCCCAGGATGGCTAATTAGCATACAAGGAGTCCTAATCTGAATCAACCCCTTAAGCCTGGTTAACAAGCATAGGAAGATTAGAAGTAATTTGTGACTAGTGGAATTAGTTGTGGTTGGAGCTTCCTACTCTTCTGGGTTCACTTCCCTTGTTCAAAAAGCTGGGAAAAGTGTTGTGCAAGTTATGAAACACTTTTCCTTCCCTTCCCTGGTCCTGCTCCTGACTTACTGCTATGGTTTGGATGTAGTTGTTCCCAAAGGCCCTGTGTGGCAGTGCTGGTGTTGATGTAGTGGAAGCTTTGAGAGGTGGACCCTAGGAGAAGGTAATTAAATATGGGGGCTCCTCCAGCATGAATGGGTTCATGGTGGTCTTATAAGAGTAGGTCAGATCTGGGAACAGCAGGTTGCTATAGAAACAGCAAGCCTGGTCCCTCCTGGTCTCTTGCTGCCTGTGTCACCATGCAGTCTCTGTCTCTGTCACACATAAGCCTCTGTCATGATGCCATTTTCCATGCTGTGGTGCAGATGGGAAGCCCTCACTAGACACTAACGAGATGGGGTCATGTGATCTTGGATTTTCAGCCTTCAAAAGTGTGAGCTCAGGCCATGGAATTAGCTCAGTGATGAAGCTCCCTGTCTTGCAAGTGCAAGGTGCCGAGTTCAATCTCAATCCCTGGTACAAAAAAAAAAAAAAAAAAAAAAAAGGAGAAAAAAAAACTTTTTATAAAGTACC